ACATACATACATACATACATACATACATACATACATTACATACATACACACATACATACATACATACATACATACATACATACATACATACATACATACATACATACATACATACATGTTACGTACATACATACATACATACATACATACATACATACATGCATACATGCATACATGCATACATGCATACATACATACATGCATACATGCATGCATGCAGCAGAACATAGAGGAATATACTGGGGTCGGCGGCACTGGGCGGCAGCCCTTAAATAAACCAACCCGAAACCAACTTGGTGTTGCCAACACCACCTTTCAAGAAACTCTACTATGCATGACTCCCTCGGAGAGTTTTGCAGGCGTTGCAAGCCGCAGAGTGCAAGCGCACTGCTCGACCCCATGACAGCAAAACATCAAACAAAGCCTCTGTTGCAAGAGCAAGAAACGCTCATTATGACCAACTGCAGCAGTAAGCAGCCTCCATTGCAGCAGCAAGCTGTTGCTTGCAAGCCAGGCAAGTAGAGAAGGCCAGCATGCTGTGCCTTTTTTTTGATAACCAGGCAGTTGGGCCGAGGCCCGCATACCAAATCACAAGCATGACCTTGACCCGCAGCCCTCTCTAGGCCTCTCCCAGCCTTCTCCTCACGGCGGCAGGCCTCCTCCAGCTGAAGGAGCTCCTGGCCAATGGAAAGCTCCAAGCGAGAGCTCATCCCGGCGTGGGCCCAGTGGATCAGAGTTCAAGAGACAAATTAGCTCACATGGCTGCGGGTCAAAAATATGCACAAAAAATGGAGCCCTGGTAAGTGGTAACATAGACTAAAACCTGCGGTCATTCACATTAAGCTCCCAGAAACTTCCAGTTGGGTCATGTGGCACGAGATCCAATTTCGGTCCGAGTTCGAGCGCGTGATTCAGAAAAAGGTCGCCTTTGACTACTGTAGGCTCCCTTTCTTGCGAGCGGGAAACCAAAGCCCATTTTCAGGCTCCCCCTGTTTACAGACCACGGCAATGGTCCAAACAGTTCTTGAAGCAACCATTCTTAGGGGTCTCCCTTCAAAACCAACCAAAGGGAGTTGCCAGTTGCCAAACGGGCCCTCAACGTCACCCAAAAAAAACACAACCCCCGGATCCTCCCGAAGCTCCACGGAGTCTTGGCGCGCGCGCCTCAGGAGGCCCTTCCTTGGTCAGGACCGAAGCGGTAGCTACCTTCTTTTTCAACAAATCGTGGAATCTGACAAAGGGTTTTGCAGACCAAGGTCCGGGAAACCTGCAGCCCTCTTGATAAGGGGGAATTATGCAAACGTTGGGCAAAGGAAATTGACTGACTGATAGACAAAGGAAACTACAAAAGCAAATCTCTGGCCGTGAGAGCTTCTTGAACACTAGCATTTCAGGGCAGGATTGAGGGGAACGACCTACCGGCCGCAGCTGAGGCCATGCCTAGTTTCAAGTGGGCGTGTCTTCCGTTGTGGGGGACACAGCGGCCTCATCTTCCTTGGGCTCCGAAGCCTTCCCCCCAAGGCGTGGCTTTGTGTGGGCGAAATGGGCGATCCGAGAAGCCACCCCTTGACACTTGGGAAAGAGCAGCCACCTCAAAAATAGAAAAGGTGCTGCAGTGGCAGAGAGGTCCTTCATTCCCCCAAGGGCCCAAGGTTCAAAACCTTGCCATGACAGCACAGGGCACTTCTGTAAAACAAAAAAAGCTGGTCTCCATCGGGTCTGCCTATTGTGCGACCCCACCCCCCCTCGCCCCACGCCCCCACGCCAGCCACCCCTCCCCGTCCTAGCCATTCATGTGAGGCACTCCTCTTCCAGAAGCGCCACCAGGTGCTCAACGGGCTGAGGTTCCTCCCGTCTCTCTGTTTCTGGGTCTATTTGAGTAAGACATCCTCCAAATTGCAAACTGCCGGTTTGAAGCGGACCAATCCCCGCAAGTCATTTTGAGAGCCCATCAACCTATAGGAACCCGGCTGGACAAAAAGAACGGCAGTGTGTGCAAGGCCACTAAGAGGCAACCGCCAGTCATTTAACTTGGCTAGCTGCCTGGCCCCAAACAAGTCACCAGGAAGCAGCGAAGTCCATGCAAGCCACTGCTCGAAAGTCTGTAAAAAAGCATACTATGTGTAGCTCACTCAATGAATAACTTTTACTGAGTCCCCGGGGAATGGACCAACATACACATCTCGGCGGGTGCACTGTACGAATCAACTGCATCAGCCTCTGCGGATTGAACCCTGTCATCCACCAAAGCATATGCCTGCAAACCACCGCGATTTCAAAGCAATACTGGCTGGAAACCAGGCACCATGACCAAACCTGTTCGCAGTGTGCCACATTTCTCATCAGCCAGAGACCGGGCAAATGTGGACACTGCGCCTGTGGCTTCCCCCTCCGAACCCCACGCCCATTGCTCCTCTCGCACCTCTGGCCTGCAAAGCTCGCAAAGCTCCCGGCCGCGAGCTACAAATGAGGCAAGTCACGTGCGCTTGCCCAAACAAGTAGGACCCCCGTTCCGACCGGCTTCCTTTTCGAGCTAGTGAAGCAGGCCTCAGTTTGCACATGCCTGTGCGTTAGATGGCCATAGGCGGCTGGACAAGGGGGCCATGACCCAAACTCTCAGTAATACTTGCAAGGCAGGCGGGGCACGTGGCCGCTGGAAACTCGCAGATTGCATCTTGAGGCCAGAACTGGCTGAGCTTGCGGGTCCCGAAGGGGTCGAACTCCTCCTTCATCGCCACCTCCGGGGCCGTTGTCTGCTTGGAAGACATGGGTTGAACTTGTGCCAATTCGATCCCGGTCACCTGCCAGTCCCAGGTGAGTTCGGAAACTCTCGAGAACACTTGGGGGTTTGACCTGGGCGCTCAAGATCACCCAAGGAGTCTGTTCTGTTCACCCTGGCCTCCGTCTCAAACGGATCCGGCGCTTCCGCGAAGGCGCCAGCCTCCGTTTGGAATGGATCCGCCACTGGCAAGGTAGGCGACCCGGACGGTGACCCAAGAGGAAACCTGCCAGGCGGCCCCTGTGACCCCTGCGCTTCTGGCGACCCGGCGGGCTCCGGCTGCACCGCCGGCCACGTTGAAAAGGGGTCTGGCGCCAGGCTCAGCTCACCGAAGGCCTCGGGCTCTTGGGACCAAGTCGTGTCCTCGAGATCCTTGTCCTTCTTTTTCTTCTTCTTCTCCTTTTTGGCCTTCTCCTTCTCCTTCACCTCGGTCACCTCAGTCACCTCTGGCGCCTGGAACTCTGGCAGCACTGGCAAATCTCGATTGCGAACCGCGGGCCCCAGGGGGTTTTGGCCCTTGCCCTCGCCGTCCACATCGAAGGCAGAGCCGCCCCGCGCAGGGGACAAACTCCGCGGGGAGTTGGAGGGCTGCGCCGCGTAGCTCGGGGCCGGCGCTAGCGCATTCACCGCCGCGCGCAGCGCGTCAGGCACCTCCGCCAGCTCCTGGCCCAGCCGCGCCAGGCGGATGAGGTGCATCGCCAGCACGAACTCGGGCCAGCGCAGCTGCCTCATTGCAAGTCCGCCGGCCGGCTTCAAACAGCAACAACCAAAGATATCCATGGAATGCCGCCCTCTCCGCCACTCTCCGCCTCTCCGCCCCCCAGCAAAAACAAAAGGACACAACCCTGTTGCCCCAAATCAGGCCAGGCGCCCGTCGCCGTCGATGTCGCTGAGGCCCCAAATGCCAGGCAGCCGCTCCTCTGGCAGGGCCAAGAGGAACAGCTCCCGGGCCGCCTGGCCGCCCAACGAGGACTCCCAGCGTGCCACGGTGCGGCAGAAGAGACGCCCGTACTTCCGCAGCTGGCGGGCTGTGGGCCCGCCTGAAAACGGAGATAGGTAGGGAGGGAGGGTGGGAGGGATGGAGGGAGGGAGGGAGGGAGGGCCGAGGAAGAGATGCGTCGGTAAGACATTGTATTTTTGGGACTTTGGACCCAGGGTTGGAAGTACCCTCATAATGCCCACAGCAAGGGGCCAAAACATTCCAAACAGGGAGCCCGCAAATTGCGTGGCTCATTTTGGCTTCCCTTGCTCGGCTTGGGGCTGCTTTTGGCTGCTGGAACCCCGCTCGGCACACCTCCCGCGGCCGGCCTTCTCTCTCAATTTGTTGAGTCCATGTGTTGTCTTTCTTTTACACAGCCCCTACAGCCCTTCAAAACAACCCCCAAAAGGGTAAACATACATCCCCCCCGGACAAATACTGAGAGATTAACAAATGCCCAAATGTGTGCAACGCCCCCGAAGATGCACTCTAGATGCTGTTTTGCAAAGGCGGGTATCCCACATGCAACCAGCCACTTTAGCTGGCCCACTCAAAGAAGCCTTCCGTGGCAGAAGGCGCATCCGGGAACGGTCGCTGCGGCTCGCGGTCGAAGATGGGCGGGCTCAGCGGCTCCTGCCAGAGGATGAGCCAAGAATCCGAATCTTGAGCAATATCTGGAGAATAACAGGGCCCAAAATGGTGGCTTCCACTTGGTCTCGTGCAAGGGCCCCGAAGAACACGTAGAAACCAAGCTTCTCTCCAACCGCAACAATCCAAACAACCCCTCAACAATCCCCCGAATACCGCACTGCAGGGGACAGGCGTGACGGACGAGCACACCGGCCGTAGGGCATGCGGCGACGATCCCTCGCGCGCGTCGAGATCCCCACTGCAGCGGCATACCCGGGCTTCGAGTGGCAGCGGAGGGTGGGCCCAGAGCCGTGCTCGCGCGTTTCGGTGGAGCCACGAGATGGCGCGGCGCAGCACGTCGCGGGCCTGCGCGAAGCCTTCGCGCAGGAGTGGAGGTTGTCCGAGGACCGACAGTTGGTCGCCCCACCCCACCTCACCTCACCTCACCCCACCCCACCCCACGTCACCCCTGGCTCCTGGTAGACCAGCTCCCTTGTCGGCGCGGCCTGTGCCTGGCAGTGCGCCACCAGCCGCAGCGCCACCCCGAAGCTCTCGAAGCCCAGGAAGCCCTGCGACTCGAGCTCGGCTCAGGCTGACTGAACCAAAAAGCGGGGGGTCCAGGTGAATCAGGAGATTCGGGAAGGGATGAGTTGAATGGCGCCCGTGTTTGCTTTGTCCAGGCAATGCCGCCATGAAATCCATCCTCAGCTTCTCACCTCCTCAGCTTAGCCCCGAGCCTGCTGCTGCTCATCGGCCAAGTGCCAAATGTCCTGGAGACTTTGCCAGGGCAGGCCACTGCTGCACAGGAAGTCATAGGCCTGGAAGCGCTCGCAACTCAGCCGACCCAAACGAAAAGGCCGCGTTCAGGCCCTCGCTTCCTGCCGCGGCTTCTTGGGGTACTCATGCCGCTCCAAAGGAAACCAGAATGAGCCCTGGAAGCCAAAAACGACAAACAACATGCCCACAAAAACCCCTCCTCTTGCCTCAGGAGGAGAAACAACGGCCTTTCCGAAGGGCCCTTTTTTCCGTTCCCTTTTTTGAAGGGTCTGTCCGAGCTTGCGGCAGCTGGCGACATCGTTGCCTTCAGCTCACCTTGGAAACCCGAGCCCCTGCCTCCTTGCCGGGGATCCGATCCCCATGAGCCAGCTGCCCAAAGAAGCCGGCGTAGAGCTCCCTCTCGTTGGAGTCTGGGCCTGGCCGTCCATGCATCGGGGGGGGCACGGGGGGGGGGTCCCAATGAAGATGAGAAGCCGAGTGCCTGTCCGCATGGAAAGGCCAGAGAATTGCAGTTGGGGCATCTGCGGCAAGGCTCGTTTCTGGCCCAACCGACCCGCCATGTTCGGCACAGCTCGCACAGCTGTCCCCTCCTTCGGCGTGACACCTCCCCGAAAGACCGCGCCTTGGCCTTGTGTCTCCTGCGGCCCCTCGAAGCGCGGAGGTGCAAAGGGCTCCTGACACTCCCCACGCCAGAAGCTTTGAATTTTCAGTGGTGGCGCGCGGGCGGGGAGGGCAGGGGGTGGGCGGGACGGGAAGGACCTGGCGGTGCATCAAACATAGGGACCCTTTGCATGGACTGCGTGCGCCAAAATGGAGGACGTGGCGGAGAATGGTGGATATTGCAACGCAATGTGAAGTAGCTGTGGAATGCTAGCATCTCCAACAACCCTGTTTTGGCTCGTTGCCAAACGCAAAAAGACTGTGAGCATATTGTGAGTGCTTCTGCGAAACAAAAGACATGACAAAACGCTTGGGTTTGTCTGTGTGAAGGTCTGTGTGAAGGTGGCGCCCCGGTTCTGCCCGCGAGCCCTCGACCACCAACAGCACAATCATCCTATGATGAGGGAATGGCCCCTAGTTTCCTTCTGCCCAAACAGTTACCTGCAAACATCGATTCCCACTGAGAACCAAGAAACAGGGTTCCAGGGTTCCCTGTACTCCCCTTTTAAACATCACACCAAAAGGCCCAGAAGGCGATATCTAAGAACCCTCTTTTGGTGGCGAAATCGAATAAACCCCACCACAATATCCCCCCCCCCCCCCCCATTTCCCGCCTGGTGCACCAGCTCCGCGGAGACCGGCAGCCCACTCTGCGCGTGGGCGATGAGGCGCAGCGCCACGCCGAAGCGCTCCAAGTCCAGGGCGCCCGCCTGGGCCTCGTCCGCCAGGCCCCAGATCTCGAAGAGCCTCGGTCCGGTGGCCCATGTTTGGTGTGCCAAAACGGTATACGGTGTACCATTTCTAAATGGGTGGGTGTCCTTTGCTTTTTTGTGGAAAGTGTGTGTGTGTGTGTGTCTCAAATTCACTGGGGTGTGGGGTCCGAGTGGGGAGGGGGAAGACGTCTGTTGGATCAAGTGGGATTGTTGGGCTTTGAACGCTGGAAGGCGCGTGAGGGTGGGTTTGGGGAAGAGGAAGAGAGAAGGGTGAGGCATTCGAGATCAGACTCAAGACTTAGCAGCGCTGCCCTTTTGAGTCTATGTTTCTTGTTGAGGGTACCCTTTTTAGGGTGGTTTGAAGGGCAACCACCAGGGAGACCACCATATTGGGTCCCGGTATGCTTTAAGAAGCATACATATCCCCGCCATGGCCAAACCACCCCTTTACTTGGGCTTGGTTGCGATTGTCATTGACCCCGGCCTTGAGTGAGGGATGGTCATTTCCCCCTCAAAAGATCTTTAGACTCTAAGCCACCAAAACCATGGGCTCCCCCACTTTGGGCGGCCTCCCGTCCGCCTCTCCCACCTCTCCGGGGCGCACATCCTGCGGCAGGCCGCTCGCCTGCAGCACCTCCGCCGCCCGCTGCCCCGAGATCCACCCGTCCCCGTCCGCCGCCGAGGCGAAGAGCTCCGCGTAGAGCTCCTTCTCCGCGTCGTGGAAGGCCACGCCCATCGGTGCAGCTTCCTTCTTCCGCCGCTTTGGGCGACCGGAGGGAAGATCATCCGGAAGGGGAGGAGAGAGATGGGGGGTGAGTTAGTGGAGTTGGTAGGTGAGTTGGCTTTGAGTGGGTGGTGAGTTGTGGTGGCGCTTTGAAAGGGGGCGGTGCTGGTGTCTGGTTGTTGCAGCTGGTGAGATTCGAGAAAAAGAAAGGAGGGGTGGTTGAATTAGATTGCATTCGTCACCCTCCTCGTTTTCTTGGGAAGCGTGTGGCAAACCTGGCCAAGCGGTGCTGAAAGGCGCTTTCTGGTTTGTCTTGCGATCACTGTCTTACTTGGGGCAAGTTGCCAGCGGTCAGCTGGGCTCCTTGAGCTGTCAGCTGCACCAAGCCGCCTGCCCGAAACCCAAAGAAGGGAAACAAAGGTGAACGCGCCCGTTCAGCCACGTCGGCCCTTGTTGTCACCTACGCCACTGCTGCCCGTGTCCCTTCCGGCTTCGCCCCACACGCGCTGGGCAGGCCGAAGAAGGCCATTCCGCATGCAAAGCCCCGCCAAAAACTCGACGCCTCGTTTCAAGGCCTGGGGGCTGCTTTGGCCAGAGCAGTTTTCTGCTCCTGGTGAGAAAGCGTCAGGTTCTGCTGACAGTCGCAACCATTTGATGAACGCGAAGATGTTCAGAATGACCCATGCTGCTGATCAAGAAGCTCTGCCTTGCTGTTAGCCCCTCAGAACCTGTGCCAACTTTGGCGTAGTCGCGCTCAGGTTCAGGCCTGCAAAAACAATGGCAAGAAAGCCTGTGCTTCGCCCAAACGAGACTATGATTTCCAACCCTAATCTGAGTATTCCCTGCCAAGGGGATCCCCCTTACGCAGCTCCCGACAATCCTTTGGTCCGTATAGAACATAACCTGTACCGTCAGGGAGACATCACCCCTCGCAGTGTCATTCCACCAATTGAAACTGTCTTCGAATTTTGGCACACTATCAAGGCTACGGTGGGGCAGCAAATGAGCAACTCACAGCATCACTCACTATTCGTTCAACTGGACGGACAGGCAAGCCCCCAGCATTGTCTTCTTGATCGGAAAGATTGCCTGGTCTCCTCTCAAGTCCTCCCCAAACGGCAAGGTTCGGCTGGTCGCGCTATTGTGCTGGGTCCCCCAGCTTGGGGCACCATCTCCTCCACCTCCTGAGCGCTCCAGGCCATCTGTGTGACCGAGTCAGAGGGAGACGCAAATCGTTGGAACTTTTTGGGCAGAAAGCATGTTCACTTTGGGCTTCCGACGTGGATCCCCCTTGTTCCGAAACCGGGTGCTGTGGTACTCAGGTTCTATCTGGCCCATCTTGCTGAGGAAGGGTGAGTCTATTCTCAAATTCATGGCTGCGCACCGTGCCTGATGGATCTCCATCAGGGAATCCTCTGCGGTCCCCAAATCCTGCATGGCATCACCGGAGCCACGGTCGCAACACGCCGCCCTAGCGGAGAATAACGAACACCGTAACCCTCCTCAAATGTTGGGGGGAACCAACAGAAAAAAGGGAAACCAACACATCTTGGACCTCCGCAGGGAAAACCGAAGGGAAACCAACAATTAGCATTACCCGTTGCACCCTTAGACCTCCTCACTGGGGCGCCCAAAGGACACATCCCGGGCCACAGCCTCGATGGAGGGGCCCACGTCTTCGATGCCTGCGACACAGGCGGGGCAAGAGGCCGTGTTGCCCTCAAAAGGTCGCAACAGGCTATGGTTGGATCCACAGCTAAACATGTCAGCTTAAACATATGCCCTGGAAATTAGAGTGTCAATGTCAAAGCAAACAGGGAGCTTCACCAGTGAAACTGCTGCATAGCATGGCGAAGCCAGCTTGGCCCTTGCCCGAGCCTGTCATCGAGTGGGCCTCAGCAACGGCTGCGTGCCTGTGGTACTCGTTTCTTCGGGCTGATGCTTAGTAGCAGTTAACGGTCGCCGGCTGGGCGTAGCTGGTCTTTGGACTTCTTTGACCGACATGCTTTCGGGAGGTATGAGCTCCGGATCCTTTTCTACGGGTGTCCCTCAGTTGTACCCTCACTTCTTGGAGGTTCTTCGCTTCCTCATTCGCGGCTCAGCATAAACTCAATATGCTTTGATCATTGCAACAAACGCTTGCTTCAGACCGCTTGTTGACCTTGTGGTTGGAATCGCGGCTGAAATTTGGATAACCAAATCTTCAAGCTAACAACATGCTGGCTAGGCAAACACGTTGTCATGCTGGCTGCAAACCCTCTCCCATAATCAAGTACGGGGCAACTTCTTGACTTCCCCTGGCGAAATGTAGGATGTCATCTTGGCCAAACTTTACTTGTGTTGGTTTGGTTGCAGACAAGGTGTGCCTGAGTCAAGACATGCTTTACAAAAAAAAAATGGCTGAGGGTTCCCTATACCTCCGCATCCCATCTTGGCAGAGACTCACTCGACCTTGGTTAAAAAAAAAAATAAAAAAAATGGTAGGCCCCTTTCTGTGCAATCACCTGAAGCGGCAGGACACCAAGCAAGTCCCTCACCCAGCTGAGTCCCTGGAAGCAGAGCAGAATCAAAGGCTCCTCTTTTTCCCGGCAAATGATGTTAGAACCACCGTTTCCAGGGCTTGCAAACGCGACAGTTTGCCAAGAGCAAGCCCGGAGGGCCCTGGGACTTTTCAGCCACCATCTCGCGCGCTTTTTCACGTGCAGACCAAACGCCCCGCCAGGCTCCACACGGCGGCCCCGCTGCCCGGCGAGCACGGGAGCTCGGCTGCGTGGCCTCGGAGTTGTACCACCCCCCGACCCCTTGCAAAGGTACACCAAGCATCAATTTGTTGGTAGATGGGGCAAGTAAGCTTCCCTACATCAACAATGGGTGGGAATTGGGCCATCTTCTTTCACCGGTCCATTCTTCAGCGCACCATACTAAAGTCGTGTCAAAAGAGATGCAAAGAGAAACCAGAAGGACACCCATTTAGGGACCCCGCCCCGTTCGGCCGCAAAAAAGGGATTCCCCTTTTGAATCCCCGTCTTTTGGATGGTGCAAAAGGAAGCCGGCAAGAAAATGGATCAGGACAAGCAGGGACTGGGGAGGGCTCAAAACAAGCGCACCGAAAAGCTCGACCTGCATCTCCAGGTGTGTCTGTGTGTGTGTGTGTGTTGAGAAACATGCGTTTGATCAAAAATCTTAGCAAATTGGCGCCATGTCCGGAAACCGGGCACAAGAAAAACCTTCGGCAACGCATCCAATCGCTTGTGGGAGACTGCCAAGAAGTATCAGATTCGGGACAGCTTGAAGCAGATTCAAAAATTGTCGCAGATCCCAAGGACAAGCCTGGGACTCGGTGGTATCGTGCATGCGCTTGTCGTATCTGCTTCATGCGCAAGTCAACACTCAAGTTCTCAGTACATCAAAGACCTCAAACAATTGAAACTAATCCTGACTCCAATGAGCAATTGAGCCGGCCAAATCGCGGCTCCGGCTTCGGCTTCCCCTGAAGCGCCGAATGCCGCGTGTCTTGCCTTTCCAAGTCTCACGCTCGTCTCACAAGCCCGCATCAAATCCTGGCGCATCGGCCGAAGGGGGCCCTGATGGATCGCTTCGTGCTTGACAAACCGAAACAAACGCAGTGCCCTTTTAGAGCATCATAGAAGTGGACGGCGGTCTTTGTGAGATGATGATATTCCAAAACCCTCGGATCATGTAAGGCGGTCGTTTGCCACTGCCTAAGAGCCAGCATGGTTCTAATGTCACATGAGCCCATGTTTGTCAAATGTGTGCACATATTCAGCCACCGGGCTAGAGTGAAGTCAACTGCACCGGCTTGACAATGCTCCTCTGGGTGTCCTAAATTGAGGCAGCCCTCGATTAGCTGGGTCCCTCAAATTTGCCTTATAAACCACCCTTCACAAAGAACACACCCATCTCAGCGCCTTATCAAAGACAACGGAGCTAGCTGACTGTTTGGTGATGAGAGGTGGCAGACTCTAACGCTTTCCGGAGGTTCGAGAGAGGGGAGAACACAAAAAGGGCGAGTCTCAAAATGATGGAGTTTCCGTTTGCTCTCCCTTCAAAACAACAACAAAGGTTCCCTCAAACAAAGTAACCTAGACTGTATGGGTGCTTCCTAAACAAGGGTGGCCTTTCTGGCAATACAGCAGCATGGTTCTCAAGGTTTACAAGGGCCTACCTCTATTGCAAGCAGGACGGGTCCACCTGCTCTGCACCCCGGGACCCCGCCTCCACTGTGTCGCCGGCCAAGGACTCCCCGTGAATGCTCCGCAGCACCTCCAGCACCTCGAGTGTGACTCCACGCGTTTTGCTTCCACCCCGTGTTTGATCTTAGTTGTCTCATTTAAATTGGACAAACTGGATAAAAGCAAGTGAAGGTGTTATTTGTAAATCATGTCAACCAAACTGGAGCCAGTGGAAGCCGTCGCTCTTAGATGTGTTTGTTTCCCGCGATCCCCAAACTATTTCACCCCGCCCCCCTTCCCCCCCTTCCTCTTTCCCCCCCTCCCCTTCCCTCCCTCCGTCCCCTCCGTCCCCTCCGTCCCCTCCGTCCCCTCCGTCCCCTCCGTCCCCTCCGTCCCCTCCGTCCCCTCCGTCCCCTCCGTCGCCTCCGTCCCCTCCGTCCCCTCCGTCCCCTCCGTCCCCTCCGTCCCCTCCGTCCCCTCCCTCCCCTCCCTCCCCTCCCTCCCCTCCCTCCCCTCCCTTCCCCCCCCCCTGCCCTCCCCCTACCACGCCTCTTACTTCTCAAAAAGAAACAACGGTTTGGTCTTTTCAAAGTGTGCCTCAATTCTGGGGCATATGTTCTAGGATTCGATGCAATTGGCCGGCCAGCGGTCAATCAGTCAATCTGTTTTAATTATTTCTTCATTGAGAAGGGGCTTAATAAGGAATAACTGCTTAATAAGGCTTAATAAGGCTTATTAAGGCTTTTTAAGGCTTTATTTGGCTTCATAAGGCTTTTTTTCGGCTCAACAAGGCTTAATTTGGATTCGGGCATATTTCCTCAAATCTGGGGAGGCCCTCCCTCGGGAGGCTCTTCAGGGACACATGAATGAAATAGAAGCCGCTATATTAGACACCATATAAAGATGTGTTTGACCAACCAGCATATTTGAGACTCGTTTTGGCGTGTTGCTCGTTTAAAAGGCCCGACACAAGGGTGAAACGTAGATCAAAACGTATGCTCTCCCTCCATGGCCCTGTCTGAAGTCGCAGGCCACATGTCGGATGCACTACGTCAAACAAAGGGCAGCTATGCCGCATGCAGCTCCCAAAAACGCTATGCCGCATGCAGCTCCCAAAAACGAGGCAACGGTTCTGTCAGAAGTGGGCGCAAGCACCTGCTCTTGCCGCACGAAAAACAGCATCCGCTGGAAACCAGGTTTCTATGGGTCCAATCTGTTCCCTCCGATTTCCCATATCTTTGCAGGGTGAAAGTAGACGGCACAATCCCCTCTAAACAAATTGGGAGGCTTATAACGAATGACCAAAATGAGAAGATGGGAAGATGGCGGGGGGCAGGCACATGCGCCATCTACCTTCACCTCCGCGCCTCGGAGTTGGCCGTCCCCGAGAAGTCCGAGGCAGGGGTGCTCCTGCGAGACACATACTTCAACGAGGTGCGTCCTCCGGTTTAGGGACGCCAGCCACGTACATCGACTCCTTTTCGGGTTCCAAGTAGCTCGCCAAGTTTGAGACCAGAATCAAAGAGAGGCAATATAACCACAGCCATCCATCCGCGGAACAGCTGGAAGTGGGCCAGTCGGATCGAACGGCTCCTCACGGTCAAGCTGGTGAGGATGCCGCCCACTGCCTATACGTGACGCGGAATCGCGGAAAGCCGGAGCGAGGCCGGTGAAACAGCTTTTCATGCGAAAGGATCCCTGACACCAAAGCTCCATGGTTCGGGTGGCTTTGGCAGGTCAAGACGAATGGTGAAAGATCCGAGGCTTCCGGGACTTGCCCGTGGGGCACCCCAACCAAAGCTCCAATCTGCGCCCAACATGAAGGGGCTGACACGTTCCTGACAAGCTCCGACCGACCGAGTGCGAAAAAGTGCTCTGACCCCTGCCCTGGAACCTCCAAGAAGGGGAGGCTTAACGCGGCTTTGGGGTCTGAGGCCCAGGCTGCATCTGCCTCTCCCTGGCACTGGCTTTCCAAAGGCTGCGTGGCATGGGAAGACTTACGCAAAGAGGCCCGTTTTTAGGACATCGCTTCAAAGGCGATTCGTATCACAAACAGGCAGCCCTAAAACCCGACTTCTTTTTACAGGCATGCCCATGGTCCGCAAGTCACCTCAAAGGATGCCGGTGATGGAAGTCATGGAGCTCTTCCTCCAGATGGAAAAGGGAAGATGGGCAATCAACGTCCAAATGAGGTGGTTGGCTGGCTGGTGGCTAGTTGGCTGGCTGGCTGGTTAATTGGCTAGTTGATCCCACAGTCCAGCAAATTGGATTACGCTGCAAATAGGGGTGGTGCCTCCACTGCATGACTCGCCACCTGCCCGCAGGTCTCCTCTCTCAAAGCGTCAGATTGGAAAGAAGCCCAAACAACTATGTCCGCACAGCCTGTTGGCTGAGGTCTCTGGCTTCATCTCCCCTTGGAAGACGGCTCTCCCTTGACCACACATCCAGCCTCAAGGTCCTGGGCTTCAGAGCCAGTTGCCTTGGTTGAAACATCTTCAAGCAAAAGACCCCAGGAGTGAGAGACATGTCCGTCAACAATGTCAAAACGGAAGCATCTCAGCGAGAAACCGCGACAAAACAAGACAGCAAGAGCCCTGAGAACCGATAACTTCCAGCTTATGACGAGCAACCTCTAGGTGACAAAGAACAAGAGTAACAGAATCTGGACAAGTGCACACAAATTTTCCACAAGGCCGACATGATCGTCCTCGCTTTGTTTGCTCCAAACTTTGACGGACTCTCACACAGCTGCGAATCTTGATTAGGGATGTTTGGGACATCATTTACAAGGGGGTGTCCCACTATTTCTGCCCTGTGTTGGATCGGAAAAGCGCTAATTTCCCCGCGCCCCCGACAGGACAAACTCGTTCACTCTCCCAAGAGATGAAACACGCTTTGGCGACCCCGTCGAATGGGTCTTCACACATGGATTTGGCAGGAACCCTCTAAGTGGTTGTCCTGTTTCCTTCCCTTTTGAGAGACTCGAAACGGTCGAAACGGGGTACCCTGAGCAAGACAGACCCACAGGTTTCGAAATTGGAGGCAAGCGATCGGAACTCGTTTATCTTAACACGTTTAGTTTGCCTGAGAAATGAGAACCCAGATTGATAATGGCTGATTGAGGGGGTGTCCCATCATGTGGAACACTCCCCTTTCATCTGCCTGGCCGATCAACCTGGGGCCAAAAGAGCCGTTCCTTACCGGATGGTTTCCAATGATTGGGGTGGAGCCCCTTGTTGTTCAGTTGTTGAAGGGAAAGGTCAAAGGCACACTATGAATTCATGAGAAATGGGCTTCAGGCACCTCTGCTCCAACAAAGCCCTCCACCCCGCGCCCTGCACATAACCCCTTTTCTCTGCTGCCATTGTGCGAAGCCTGGGCGTAGGCCGTGTCCAACCAAAAAGCAGCCGCTGGACCGAATGATCCCAGAGCCACAATTTAAAAAAAAAAAAAAAAAAAAAAAAAAAAAAAAAAAAAAAAAAAAAAAAAAAAAAAAAAAAACTGATGTGGGTATGTATCAAAATAGGGGGACCGCCAAAATGGGTGGCAAGTATTGCAATTGTTTGCATCTAAACCAATGCACTCAAGACCCAGCCCCCCTCATGTTGATGTGTGAAGAAGCTCCGAAAGCCTCCGGCCAAGCAGCACCCACCTCGCACGCATCGATGAGGCCATGTCGCTAGAGTTCGACGTTCAGAAGCTGCGCAGTTTGCTGCCCAAAGACCTCAGGGCGAACACCAAAGCAGGGGCAATGCGGGAGATGTGGCAAACGCAGGACATGGTCTGGTCTCAAGGTCTCATAAAAACCTGCATACATGCAAAATGGGGAACCAAAAGTGAAAGAAAACCAACACAAGGAACCCTATGGGCCAAAAAACGTCTCGTTAGGGCCACCCAACTCTGACACTTGCCGACTGGAGTACCGATGACCTGCTGGGCCACCGCGCCCGACTGCTCATCGCACGCGGGCAGAACCGCAGGAAGAAGTGCCCCTCGTGCACGCGATTTGCCCGGCGGATTGGAAAACGGAGTTCCAATGGTGTTCACGTTTCCATTGCCAATCCAATTGCCACGTAGACTTAGGGGTTTTATCCAGGGCATTCCCTGGATTTGAGCCGATATTGTGTAAATCAAGCAATATTAACCCTTTTGCTGACAAGACGGCTGGTGGCTTTGCGAACTTGTTTGAGCACCATGGGTAAAGGTTTTGCTGGGCCAATCTGTCTCAGAGAACTTTGTGTTTGTCTCGAAATTGGCGAACCAACAGGAACCTAATGTTAAAGCGGAGAGACTGGTTTATGGCACTTTATGGATCGTTTGCAGGCAGTGAAAGCTGTGGAAGTGGGAGGGTAAAACCAGCCCGACACAATTGTTTGTTTAGGTGCAGTTCGTGTCAAGGGGTCTGTTCGAGAGAACAGTAGTCTTCCAAAAACTTCCAATCCTCCATTTCCATGGTTGTTGGAGAAAGGGTACCAAATTTGGTAGCCTTGTACCCCACACACCCATTCTACTGATTTCAGCCTGCCCACGAGACGAAAAACGGACCTCCGGAAAAGGGTCCTCTGACACACCTCTGGGACCCCCGGCCAGCTTGTTAAAAGGCCCTGTGACCACCACCGGATCCCTGGCACGCGACGACTGCCCGTCGAAGAAACCGACATTCCAAACCCTTTCTTGGTGGGTCTGTGGCAAACGCAGAGAAAACTTGACAAACAAAGAACAGCCCAAATCAATGCTTGTGCTTGGTGGTTGTAGAATTCTGTAGCACAGACTTTTGATTTTGGCCTGCGTTTGAATTCCTGTTGCTGCCTTCTGTGAAAGCAGCATGTTCCCGACTTGTCTCCTCATAAGAGTCGACGATGGGATTCAGTTTTGTCCCGAGATGCCCATATGCTCTCCTACCACAAAGTGGCGATCAGGGGAGAGTCCAAACTATTAACAGTACCAATTTTCAGATGTTATCCATGACCAAACCAAGAATACCGTAGCCTTTCGAAAACCGTGCACAATTGAATGGGTTTAGCGCTGTAGGAGTAAACCAGAGCATTCCTTGGATTGATCAGAGTGTGTGTGTGTGTGTGTGCTCTTGTTCTTCTTCTTTTTTCCGGACCAGGTCGACCCTACCGATAGTGCGATGCTCCAATCTTATGAAAGAGGACCCCTGAAAAAAGGGCCGGCGAGGCTGTTGGTTTCCCTTTCAGCACCCCAACATTGGTGACCCTTTTGAAAACCGCCAAGAAGCGCGCCCCAAACTACACCGGCCGAATCGAGCGCAAGCACCAGGCACCTGCCCAAGGTGGCAAGGCACTCAGCGACCACCTCCAAAGGCTCCTGACGTCTTGCCGCTTCTCGGGGAATCAACTTTGTGTTGGTCTTTGGAGGGAAAACAAAAGGAACCACCCATTTTGGGGCTCCCCTCATTCTGAGGAATCAACCGCGGTTGTAGGAGCCACCAATTGGATTCCCTTAAGAGAAACCCGTGCATCTCCGCCCCTCCTGCTCAATCCAGCTGTTCCGCTTGCTCGCATCCTCAGACGGGATCAGTGCGCCGCACCCCACTCGGCCGCGCACGACTCCAAGGCTGCGAAGCATGGAATTCATTGTCCCAGGTTCCAGGTACTGGGGTTGAATTGTCAACCCACCATGAAAAGTCGATGCAGGTGAGCAGGTGCCCATGCGGGGCTAAGGATCAAACCATGCGCTTGCTTGCTTCTGTTCGGGCATGGTTTTAGGTTTGCGTTGGCACACAAGATCGCGAGAAGGCGCCTGTTAAGGTCGTTAATTTTCTGAAATCCTTGAGCAAAAATGAGTTAGTTCATCAAGCTGTATAGAAGGATAGTGGCGGTCAGAATTCTGGTCCAAAGCATTTCAAACTGCAATTTGTCACACGACGCTGATGCACAAGCACTCTGTATTGTTTGTTAAGCGCCCTGAATGCGTCCATGTTCTGCGAATGCGCCAACTTTCTGCACGCAAGATGCATTGACTTATTCCCTGCCACCGCCAAGTACTTCTGCACATGTGCAGAAGTACAAGGCTTCCGCGCGGCCCAACCGCATGCCAAATCGAGACGCCGTTCAGGTTTCCGCATGTTCGCCCTCAACCAGCCACGTAGGGCTTTCAGTGCACCCAAAAAAATATGGGAAGTGGTGCCTTCCAGTTCCCTCCCCATCCCTTAACCGAGCGTCGGGAATGTAGCCCACGTAGTTAGGCGTGACCGTGGCGCCGGCCACGCAAGCCAGCACATCGATGCCTGGCGCTGATGTAGATGCTTTCCACCCGCACGAATTGCAGGGGTTTGATGGGACTATTTAGCCACTGTATGAGGGGTAAAAAACCCATTTGTGCCTGAAAATAGTATATAACTTGGCGGTAGTGGAAAGCATCTTAGATAATAAGAATGTGGGCTTGGGCTATTATCAACCCTGATCTGCACACATAGGATTCCAAGGACCTTTCTCGGCGCGTCCTTTGAATCTGGTAGGCATTCTGCGAAATGCCACACCTTGATGTCTGACCCCGTTTCCTGACAAAAGCGGTAACATCCTTCAGCTTTGCCCTCAAATGAGGACGGTAACCAACCCAACCGTCCAGTTAAACCAAGTTGCACATGAATGTGGAGATTCAATTGAGTCATGTTGCTCATGTGGTCAGGAAGCTTCGGCATCCCTCCACCTCAGGCAAGATGCCTCGGGGCGTCATCTCCTCACTCAGGCCGCGGACGAGGGTCGTGATGTAGGCCTGTTCTGTGAGCAGCATGGCTGGGGCGAGTGCCTCGTGATTCCTTTTGGGTGAATTTGTTGAGGGTACGCTTTTCAGCTTGGCTGAAGGGACACCAAGAGGAAAACCAGCATTTTGGGGGTTCCGCCTATTTTGACACACACACACACGCGCTTCAAGCATTACCCACAAAGAGGAAATAGCGTGGGGGCCATCGAGCACGTGCACCCACTGTGGTGGTGGTGGTGGTGGTGGTGCAAGCCACCTGCAGGAGTCACTAATGTTGAAAGCTGCGAGAAACACGACCTCCGACCCCCACCCCCTAAACAGCCAACCACGCGCGCACCAGGCGCGGCCTTGGTGGCCGCATAGTTTGCCACCACAGCCGAGCCTGACACTGCAGAATTCACCAAAGCCATATGGGGGCCCGACAAATCGCCGCCAGTTCCTTCTGGCTTCTGTTCGTACAAGACCAACCTCAAATCTATCAAAGACCCGCCCGATTGCTTGCCACAGTCGGCTCCCTTCATGCTGGAAGGAGACCGAGCATGATCCACTTACAACAAACCACCGGAACTGTCCGGGGAGACCATCCAAAACTCTTCGCAACGGAGAAGCCAGGCGTTCCAAGCGTTGTCCTCGCACTCAGCCCCCCCCCCCTCCCCGCCTACTTCCCCAGCAAGGGAAGACATCAGCACAATGCCTCCCTGTGCGCCTGCAGAAAGCGAAGCGATTTGCCCCCAGCGTGCGTAGTCCTCCAGTAGGTGTGCCAAAACATTATGTCGGCCTTATTGGTCTTTAGGGATGCACCAAATCCCCCCTCTCTCCCCTCCCTGGTTTCTCTCTTTTTTTTTCTCCCTCTCTCTCTCTCTCTCCAAATTGGGGACCCCTCAAATTGGTTTCCTCTTGGGTTTCCCTTCCAACAATACTCAAAAAGGGGGTCGCCAACTGTGGACACACTGCTTCAGCCTAGCGGCTTAGTGGCTTGCGCCTGCTGAATTCTCCGTGTGAGGGACAGCAAAAGGGAAACGCTTCTAAGGGAGGGCACCAGGGCATGTTGAAAAAAATGGGCGTACACTAACAGTAATTTTGCTAGTTTGCCAGTCGCGCAAAGTGCGACTTCGAGCACCTGCTTTCAGGGTACACTTTTTGGTGGTCCAAAAGAGAAACCAAAATGAAAAACACGATTTGGGGTGTCCCGTCTTTTGACACATACCCAAAAGGGCGGTTTGTCGGCCTCGTTCTCTCAACCACCTGCCGAAGGTGTGCGTGGCTATTGCCACACTCCGAACGTTCACATCGATGGACGTCATGCTATCACCTCGATTTCGAGGATTTCGAAGGCCGATGGGTCACGATAGAGCTAGCCCCAAAAAAGGCTTTGCTTTCGGATTCCCTCCCCCCCCCAGACCTTCCAATCTCCCCTCGCTGATGAAAGCTTGCCAATGTTTAAGAGCGCGCGGGCAAGAGATCGGAAGCTAAACTTGCGAGGCAGATTGAGGCGAGAAAACTGCGAAACCTCCGAAAGAAAGGCCACCACACGAAACAAGGCCTGTGAAGCGAAGTGGACAGAAATCCTCGTGTCCCAACTGAAAATCACGCCCGAATCGGGCCCGGAGATGGCCCAAAACTGCTGGCTCCAACCAGGGACCGGGGGACAAGCCATTTTCACACGTCAATCAGGCGAAACAATTTGTTTTGCACTGCATGTTTGGGTAACAGCACAGGCGAGGTGGGTGTTTTCCCCCCCTCCCCCTCCCCCCCCCGTTCCCCCCATAGCTCCCTTCTGGCCGGGTCATTGCTTAGGCGATTCGCCCAATGCGCAGCCAAGATCCCTCAACCAGAGCAGCCTCCTGGGGGTGGATCAAAAGATCCTTTACATGGGATGACCATGAGAGGAAACCACCAAAAATACAAACATTATCCTCTAAACCACCAAAAAGATGACCATTAGATGGGAAAAGTCACCCATGGTCATTTGGGGGCCTTTCGCGGAGTATTCGCCAAACCCTCACATCCAGCACCCACCCGCCCCAACTTCTACCAGGCAGCTCATCTCCGCATCCAGGAAGGCCGCCATGGGCCCCGGGCTGGCCGCGTTGTGGACCACCACCCGGACCTCCGAGGCAGGGGGCGTGCGCCTCTTCTCCGGGTGTCCTTCTTGTCTTCTTTTGGCGCGCTGACTGCGGCCCAATCTGGGGAGCCACGGTTTTGGCCTGTTTGTTCCTGAGGGGGTGGCGCTTTTCTGTAGAAAGGGACGCTGAGAATTGCAGGTGTTCACCCAGTCGTGCCCAAAGAAACGGCTCTCCCTCAAAGTCGCTCCAAGGCCGCAAGTGTGTTCCAAACAAAACCAAACCATCTCCACACCCTCCAGGTAGGGCCCTCTCGGGCCCGGGCATCCTTGTCCCCCAGCATCTCCAGGAAGGTCACCTCCGTGAAGTTGGCCATGTCCTGCGTCACCAGCTCCACCTCGCGAAGGGCATGCGGCGCGCCGCACGCGAGCGCGAAACGGGCTGAGTCGGCGCGGAAAAGAAGCTCCTGACACGGGGCAAGTGTCTGGCTCAAAGAAGGGAACCTGCAAACCATGGCTTGAAAGGGGAAAGGGATACTGACCAAAAGATCCTTCGTTTCGGTGGTATTGGTGACGCTTTGGCGGGCAAGGTTCATATACCCTTTGGTGGCTGCCAGCGGCCTTTTCCCAACCGCTGAAGTTCATGACCAGCTCACGAGCAAACAAATGGAACAAGAAGATGCAGAAGAAGGAGAAGAAGGAGGAGAAGGAGAAGGAGATGCAAAACAAGCAACCACCCAGAGAAGCTGCGTCATTTCGAGGCCAAGCAACCAACAAAATGCTGACTGCGCGCCTCAATCTCCGCCTTGTGCTTCTGCAGCAACTCCTTGAGCTCCTTCAGCGGCCCAGGCTTCCTGGAGGCCAAGACGCTGACTCGAGAAACCAAAAGGTGAAGTTCAGAGAAACCAGCGCGGGGCGATTGCGGGTAAGGGATACTTTCATCTGATTCCATCTTGCCAGGGTCCCCCAAACTCCAGGTGACCCTCAGTGAAAGGCTCCGAGGTAAGTTGAGAGGCTCCACAAAAGGGGAGCCTCCCCATCCCCGCACCCACCCGTGGCCTGGCCACCAGGACCAGGTTCATGCCCATGCGGCCCAGCGATTGCGCCCACGCCTGGAAGCTCTCTCTCACTTGGGAGGACTCATGAATGGAGCGGCCAGTGACCCATCAGGTTCAGTTGTATCAAATGTATCATGTGGTTCGTGGGATCATGTGTTGTTGGTGTGTCAGATGTGGGATCATGTAGGTGCGTGGGATCATGCGGCTTGCAATCGCCGTGCAATCATTTTGGGCGTGTTGGAGCACCTTCGCCACCTTTCGGCAGCTTTGAAAAACCGTCCAAAAAACCAGCTGGCCATGGAAGCCTGTTGGAAACCAATGTGTCCAAGGCTTTGTGCAGCCCCGACTCACAAAAGGAACCGTCACTCCTGCGGCCAACAAATCAAACTCGTCGACCTGCGGCCATTGGCAGGGAGGCCCGCATGAGTCTTGTCGCTTGGGTGGCTCATGGGATCCAACCAATCAGTTCGAAGACTGAAGCAGCTGGGCTCTGTTTGTGAGACCTTATGCAGAGTTCCCTACTTCTCAAGCACAAGGTCATGCCTCTCCGCCAATGCGGGTCTGTACACGCCGCGGGTCGCCCCCCTATTCTTCAAGGCGACTCGGAGTGTGGCCCCATTTCTTCACTGGCGCCCTCCCGCGCCGGCGGCGCGTCAGAGGATGCTGCGACACCTGCAGCTGCAGCACCAAAGCCAGCGTCTGAACCGAAGCTCAGCATGCCAAAGGCGAGCTTCAAGGGGAACATTTCCTGGGTTGGTCTTTGAACCTGCGAAAAGCTTATACTCTTTGTTGGTGCAAAAAGAATCATGATTCAAAAAGCTGAATGTTTCAAGGTCAAACCAAAAAGTCAAAAAGCAATCAAGTTTCCAGGGGCCTGTCCGCTTCAAAGACCACCTCGTAGAGATCCGTGTGCTCCTGCCGTATCCATTGCAAAACCTCGAACTCATGGGGGGGAAAGCTTGGAAGGCGCCTACACCCCTCCCGTGCCAAACTTGGATCCCCCACCCGAGAGGCGGCAGTCCTTCCTGTTGACGACCTTGGTCAACTTCCGCTCTTCGCTGCCCACAATGACCCAATCCCCCAGCTTCAGCGAATCCGCACGCTGATCGCAGAGGCCTGGGCAGCCCCGACAAAGGACTGGCCATTGAATTCAGTCTGCTGCGTGGAGCAGCCGGGAAGGTCCAGGGAGTTGAAAAACC